ATCATCGAGTAAAAACACTACAAAGATTTCAATCATAAACTCAAATAATATTTTTCCTTTCCTATAAGCAACAATGTGCGGATGAGAAACAATGTTGTGGTCATCTGGCAACGATGATTCCGCAGCCGAAACGTCCGCCAGAATTGCCAGTCTCTTGACTACTTGGATCCGAACCGAGACCCAAATCATCTCTGCCTTCGTGGATCACAAGTGATTTTCCAACGATGCTGTCGTCACCAGTCAGAGAGATTACGGGGTCATGCATGTAGATGACTGCGATCCCGACGTTCTGTAATTTTGGCAATGAAAAAGAAGAGAAAAAGAGCGATTGCTGTTATTGCTGTCGAAATTTTGGAATGAGCAAATTGGCACTCGCTTTTACAAATTTTTTTACCACTCTTTAAGTCATGTTTACAAATATATTTTCATAAGTAAATCCAATGGTGGTTATTTTTCCTACCTGTGCATTAACATTCCCGAGATCTCCAACATGCCGTATCGTATCACTTGGAGCACCATGGGTTTCATTCGTAGGATTGAAGTGCCCACCAGCATCCAGACATCCGTTCCCTAGACTTCCTTCTTCATGCACATGAAACCCATGAGGTCCTGGCGATAAGCCATATAACGTTCCCTCTACCTGAAATTCGAAGTCTATAAATGCACTCAACCTTTTTTGAAACTTACAACTACTACGTTCCCGATTTCTGTGAAATAAACGATACCGATAGGTACAATAGGGTCACCATCTGGTACCGCCCGGTACATAACAGCGTAAGCTTTGGCATCTCCGTAACGGTCCGGAAGTGAGAAGCTGTCCAGAAGATGGATACCAGCGAGGAGCAGAAATACGGTAACGAGCATAATGCTGGAAAATATAAAAAATCACGTACAATGTAACGCAATAAATTCAACAAAAAAAACTGAATCAGGTTGGCGCAGGCCATCTGAACAGTTTAGTAAATTACGGTATTCTTTTCTTCAACATCGTGGATAATGTGCAACTGCACACTGTCAGCAGAGAAATCCTTTTGAATATGGGATTTTATACCATAATCCCTTGAGAAATCTTTTCAAATTATTAGCGAAATGCTTTACACAAGTGAAGTTTGAGGGTCTAGTTCTGAAGATTCACTCAAATTATTCAATGAGATATTATGCTACCGATTTTTTGGATTTTGAGAAATTCTACGGACGTTAGTACCAAAGAATTATGCCAAGTATGCCATTGTATGAAATAAGTCCATAATCGTACTATTCCAAGTTTCCATAAAAAATCTTATATTTTGAGATTTCTCTGAATCGCAAATCTTTCCTAATCTTTGCATGTTCAAACCTTCAAAATGTTAGTTCTCAAGAATTAGGGCACCTACAAAGGTGCAAATCTGTACCAGTATTTCTGGGCGAATAATGCTATGTAATCACTATTCGCGAGGAACACAGAACCGCTAAGAGCAAAGTCTGAAAATTCAGCTTATTTTTCGATTCTATCCATCAGAAAAGTGCGACAAGTGTATTTATAAATATTTGGTTGTCCCGAAAGTTCGTTCGCACCATTTTCAAACAATCATAACTTCTTTACGTCATAACGATTTTGCGCAATTTAAATTTCATTAGAAAGCGTAAAGCATGTAGTTTCCAACACTCCCCCGGTGACTTTCCAGCATGTTCAGATTGAGAGAGATTCGGAATTTTTGAGCAAAAATTCTAAAAATCTAGAAATTGCGCGATAAAATCCAGAAAAGCCATTATCATAATTTTTCTTGTATTTGATTACTAACCGAGTTAAGCTTGTGCTGATCGAGCTCTTCTTTCAAAAGTTATGATTTTTTGAAAAAAAATGCCGAAAAATCAATTTCTTAAGAATTCTTAGGAAAGTGATTTTTCGGAATTTTTTTTTCAAAAAATCTTAACTTTTGAAAGAAGAGCTCGATCAGCACAAACTTAACTCAGTTAGTAATCAAATACCCCTAAAATCCCGCCAATAAGTCCGGCCTTATCTGCATTTTTTGACACGAAAAATTGATAAAAAATCGCCCTCCTCGCTGCCAGAAGTCTAGCAGATGAATCCTTCCACCAGACCGCAGCAGATCTGCTGGACTTCTGGCAGCGCAGAGGGCGATTTTCATCAATTTTTCGTGTCAAAAAATGCAGATAAGGCCGGACTTATTGGCGGGATTTTAGGGTATAAGAAAAATTATGATAATGGCATTTCTGGATTTTATCGCGCAGTTTCTAGATTTTTAGAATTTTTGCTCAAAACTTTCGAATTTCGGATGTTTTCGTTCTTCCAATTCTATCTCTGAATGAACATGCTGGAAAGTCACCAGAGGACTATTGAAAACATGCTTTACGCTTTCTAATAAAATTCAAATAGCGCAAAATCGTTATGATGCAAAGAAGTTATAATTTTTGAAAATGGTGCGAACGAACTTTCAGGACAACCTAATATTTGATGGAAAGACTATGTGCATGAGCGAGTTGAAAATTCGCAGAATTGTTCTGAACTAACAATAACATACATCATTTTCGCTTTTTCTAAAAATCGGATTTTTTTCTATTTCGGCTGAAACTTAATGCGGAAGCTCATTTGAGAACCTTTGAACGTCCCCTGTAGAGCTTGCTTTATTATAAGAAAGACTGACTTATGTGAAAAGTTAGATACGAAAAGACTTATGAGACAACTTAATACAACTTAATAGAATATTTGACACTTGTGATATCAAATTTCTATTTTACGGAGCGATACTGGAAGTTCCTGTATGATATTTATATAAGGTTTGTTTATTTACCCGCAAATCAAGTCGAGATAGTTATATTTATGTTATATTTATATGTGCAGCTTTTTTGCAGACATGAATTTCTCATGAGCATTGAATTTTCTAGAAAATTATGCATAGTCCGTTCATGCCTAGGCTCAACCGTACAAAGAAAAAATTCTATTGCTATCTTCGACAATTTGAATGAGCACTTATAATTTTTCAGGGTTAAGTAAGATCAGCAAGGGGCCAAACTTACCTCCTTAAAAATCAAATCTTGTCTGTTGAGGCGAAAACACAAAGCGTAAGAAGTGTTCGATGTGAAGAAGTGGTAGAAGTTCAAAAGTCATTGTTTTTTCAGAGTATATGAGAATATCATTACCACGGCACCATTCCAGATCACCATGGATTTTTGCACTAATCTTGTGAGAGAGCAAGTTCAGTACTTTGGGATAAATCATGGTATAATTATCGGGAGCCAAATAAGCTAAGTATAAGTATGTCAGACAGAATTAAATAAACACTACAGCAGAAAGAATTGGGATATATGATCTTTATACAGAGAAACTGACGTGTGCAATGATATTAAAGCATTGCGTGTTTGTGTGTGAATCATTTAGTGCTCATATATCTTCCTGCCAATTTCCGCACATGTGTAATTATAGCTAAAACATGATGGAATGCTCATAATAATTGGATTATCAAGTGCGCTAAAACTTTGAGTCAGAAGCGGAAGAAATTTTGTGTGAGCTTAAGCTTAAGCCAATACCTTTGCCCAAGCCTAACAAGGGGAAGAAGGTTAGCCGAAGTGGCCTTTTGCAATAAGATGTAAACTGTTTTGCAGAGCTTAGAACGCTGATTGCAAATCCGCTTTCACTATCTGCCGCGGACTTCTAAGCGAGGAGTTATAAAGGTTTTTGTGAGTAGAAAGTCAAATGCAAGATTAGTGTAAAATCAGTCGTAACATTTTTTATAGAGCTTGGTAGTCGGGTCACTTGTTGCAACAAATATTCTTGATTCAAAAATACAAACTCGAAAATATATTGCCTTATTTAAACGTTAGGAAAAGTTACAAATGATTTCATACTAATCTTGCACTTAAATTTTTACCCATCAAAACATTCATGATTCCTCACACAGAAGCCCGCAACAGATAGCAAAGACTGATTTGAGGCCAGCGTTTCAAGCTCTACAAGACAATTTACATCTCATCTCCAAAGGCCACTCCGATAAACCTCACTTACCTTGTAAGGGAGATAGGTGGAAGTGGCCTTTTGAGATGAGATGGGGATCTACTGGTCTAGGCTTGCCTAAGCCTAAGTTCGAGCCTGCCAGTTTTCGCACATCTGTAAACACAGCTAAAGCGTAACGGAATGCTCCCAATAATTAGATCATCAACTAAAATTTCGAGATTTCAGAATCGGAAGGAATTTGCGTAAGCCTGAGCCTACGCCTAAGCATAAGCCTAAACAATGTGCAGTTGGGCCTTTGAGAACGCAGTTACCAAAGGTAGGATCCTGTCAGACACATAAATAGTCGCTTCACACTATTTTGAAGTACTTCTAACAAGTTTAAAACACTTTTGACTTGACTCAAGATATTTTGCAAAGGTTCCGGACTATAAACATAAATAACACAATTATCTTCTACAAGCGAGACATAAATATTAGGCTGTAAAGAAAGTTCTAAGGATGATTCTTAGTGTGCAATGGCCTCAGCTACCAAATACGCTATTCAGCTTGAAAAGATAATGATAAAACAAGGAGAAATGCCCAAAAAAGGAGAAAAATCCGCTGCCCTCAGCTGTGCGAGAAGGCACATTTTTCAAATTATAGAGGCGCAGAACTTGCAGAAGCTCGATTTGAAAATTTGTTTCATACTCTTTGATGGTTAGATGAAGCAATATCTGACTATCCGACTATAACTTGCCCCAGTATCTGGACCTTTTCTCAAGCAAGAACTGGCTCATCGATTTCAAGGTTAAAAAGATCGAATGCCCCACATTTTTCTAAACGTAGCGGGCGCTCTTCTAACAAAAGAGCATATATTATATGCATAATAGTAGGTAGCCCAAGGTAGTCAGTGCACATGACCAAATTATCATTGATTGTCAGCCACACATGATGAAGACATAAATATAACAATTTAACTTAACTTCTATTAGCAGAACCTTCTTTACAACCTAATAGTATCTATCAATCTTTCACAGCACATTTTTTGAACATTTAAGAGGTTATGCACAACTCAGATTATCATTTGGCAACGATAATTCCGCAACCGAAGCGTCCGCCAGCGTTGCCGGTTGCTTTGCTGTCTGGATGCGAACCGCGACCCAAATCGTCTTCGCCTTCGTGAATCACAAGTGATCTTCCCACAATGCTGTTTGGACCAGTTAGAGTAATCACGGAGTCACGCAGCCAAAAAGCTGCAACGCCACTGTTCTGTAAAATTTACAAGTAGGGAGATTCAACACATTCGGAATGGACAATTAGAATCATGCCAACGATCACATCTATCTGACTGGTGATCATCAATCGCTATTGCTAAGATTAAGGATTCAATCCAATAATCGCTCCTTTTATCAGCTCTCGATATCACTGCCTTATTACTTACTGCCTTACAAAATGGGGGAGCGAATGTAACGATGTTTACAGTAGACCGCCTACCGAAGCGATGCTGAATTTCGAAGGAAAAAAAGAAGTCCTCTAAGATCCCGGAAGTCGCCCGCACAGCGATTTTGAAGTGTAAGGCCTCAGACAGAGTTTGCGAATTTATCGTCGCGATTCATCGCTACAAGGCAAGTGTTAGGCCCCAGACAGACTTCACGCGATTTGATCGTCGCGACTGAATCGCAACGAGACAACTGTTACAACATCATTCCATGCCGATCAACTTACATTTCGGTTGTGATACTTTTCCAGCCCGAAATTTTTGAATGTGAAATGAAAATTAATGGAAATGTCGGCGATTGAGTCGCGACGATCAAATCGCGTGAAGTCTGTCCGGGGCCTTATACGAGCTCATTGCATGCCGATCTTCTTGCATTTCGGTTATGATAGTTAGTCACGATCAGTCGTGTTGGAAAATTACCACAACCGAAATGCAAGAAGATCGGTATTCAATGACATTGTTACAGTTGTCTTGTTGCGATCAATCGCGACGATGAAATCGCGTGTACTCTGCCCTAGGCTTAAGGCTAGTGTGCATAGCGCACACAGTCATGATCGCAAGGTCCCACAACGGCTCTGTGTCATTAGTTTGGTGGACATCGCGTCCTCACGCCCTAATTCAAATCAAGGGACTTTGAGAAAAGCTCATTTTCGACATTCTTTTTGCTCTGAAAGCTGTACGATTGAATCAGCACGATGAATTTAGGTTCTGCCAGACACTGCCCTCAAATGAAGCACATCAATAAACATTTATTATTTTTGCCAACTGGTAATTTGTGAACACGTATTTCAAATACAATTAATTGCAGTGTTTGTTTAAACACGTTTCGGACCGGTGCTGCACATGGTGCAGCACGCGCCTTTCAAGGATCCTTTCAATGTTTGCAGGAGGTTTTCTTTTTGTCCAAGGTTATCAAATCAGAGGCGTAAGCTCCTCCTTTTCAAATGGCTCTGTAGAGCTGTGCCGACGCTATTTGTTTAGAGGATATGAGGACAAATCGAACAACAGTTGCAACGAAGTGCGGCAACGCAACGACGCGTGCGACGTCGCAACTTTTCTTTGCTTGTATCTCAAAGTGAAAAACCGTGGTTTCAGTAATGATGTGTACTGTGTACAACATAGATACTTTTGGACACAATTAGAAACTGAGTTCTTGTTCCTATCTTTCAGGAAAGCACAGAAATCCTTCTCGGGCGACAAAATTTAAACACTTAGAATTCATTCAGAACTCTGGGTATAGATCTTATCTGACATGCTGATTACAGATGTAGCACACACTCTATGAATTAAGGCTCTTTTGTTGGCTAACGGCTGAAAGTACCCTCTTTTTCGCCGCGCGCGATTTCGCGGTCCGAAACGTGTTAATAGTTTATTTGTTAACGGTTTGATTACTAAAGTTTGAGGTGTCTCCTTCTCGCAAAAAGCCAACAAGCAAAACCCGCGTTCTACCGAGCAACGTATTGTACGTACAATCCACTTTCCCCCTTTTCGCATTTTACGCCCATAAGTAACTACAGTAGTGTTAAATAAATGGAGTGAACAAATATTTTGTACCTGTGCAACAACATTTCCAAGATCTCCAACATGCCGAATTTCATCTTGTCGAGCACCATGAGTTGCATTAGTAGGATTAAAGTGTGGACCAGCAGCTAAACATCCATTTCCTAGATTTCCCACTTCGTGCACATGAAAACCATGGGGTCCTGGCGACAAGCCATATATGGTGCCAGCTATCTGTAATCGTAAGTCTATAGATATACTCAATCTAGGTACCCTACTTTCAAGTGTATAAACCGCGGGATGGTCCTAATTTACACCGAACAGCCCGAACACATCAATGGACTTCGCAACCAAAGGACCCTATACCGTGCTGCATATTGCCTACTCAGACAATTCACGGGAGCTTCCCGAAAACAAGCCAATTTTGGCAAACTTCCCGAAGAACTCGTTTAACACAGAGGTGAATGGAAGCGCAAAAATGGGAGTTTCCCGAAAACTTTGACGTCAGGAGCAACGCAGTTAGGAACTTCCCGAGGATTTCTTCGGGAAGTATCTATAAATGCGAAACTTTCCAAAAGCTTTTAAGAAAAGGGAATTTTCCGAGAGCTTCGCGGTATTTCGTAATAGCGCTACTTTCATTCTAATGACTGAATTGTCGTCAAAAGTCACAGAGTCTTCATCAAACTTATGTAATGGTCAGTGCGATATCTGATTTAGCGCAAGTGCGGACTTCTAGTGTTTCTTTTCCATCGTCCTCTCGTTTTATTCTGTAAATTGACTGAATTCTCTTCTTTCCATGTGGCATTATTCAAATGTATTTGCATCACTTGTCGTTAAGGGTGAAGTGACCTCTTGCTTGTTACTTCGCACATCATAATTACCGTCCTCTGTCGCAGTGCGAGGTGTGAAGCTATGACCCAGAGCCAAAACAAGCAAATAGATGATCCGGCTATTGAATTACCTTAATATATGTGCGACCATCTATTGTACAGCTCTTTGCGAGTGCGGCTGTTATGATGCACCATGTAATAAGGAAATGACTCCTTTTGACTTTACATTTACTCATAAATTTTACGTGTTTCGAAATTCTTCTGAATGTGACTTTGTGCTGTTTTATATATAAAAAGGAAAATATGAATTTAGGCAAGTCTTTTTCAGCGTCTGATTCTCCTTGCTTTCTTTTCTGTATTTCGTAACAGTGCACTTGCGCTATTTCACTATACTGCTAGTCTGTCAATCTGTTATAGATGGTGAAAGTTTAGCAATTCAAATTGGAGTGTTATCTTAGGTAGTATTTAGATTCTGGTTCCTAGCTGAGTGGTTGTAATTTCGATCTTTTCTCCTCCTACTAGTGAAGCAGTTATGTGAAGGTGCTATATGTGCGTGCGCTTCGGGACCGCACCGCGGTTTCTCGCGATTTGATGATTTTCAAACTGCGCTTACGATTCTTTGCATATTAGATCTCTTCTTTCCTCTTTTCTAACGTGAATTTTTTCAGAGCAAGGGCATCAGCCGAATATAGTCGCGACGAACAAATAGTTCAAGGCTTCTACTTTGAGGGCACAAGTCGACTTTCAGGTGAGCGTGATTGCGCTTTATTTGACACTAGTTATGCTTCAACTCACTTCTATGATAATGTTTCTTTCTCTTTTTTGATTTAACACTGCTTTTCTTTCTTTCTTTTCTTAAAGTTTCCTGTTTTCCTCTCTGATTTAGCACTGCTCTCTTGCTTTCTTTCCGAAGCTGTGCACATTAGAGATCACTAATGAGAATATACAATAATCTTTAAGCAAGAGTAATGAAGTTGTTCGAGGATCTTTTATTCACCTCCCATCTTTCCACTTTCTCTTTCACCCTCTATTCTCTTCACCCACATTCCGCTTCATGCAACCTACTAAGACATTTCGTATTTCACTCACATTTTTTGTTTATTTTATGGATTGAAATCTCTTCTTTGTGTCTATTTGGATTCTTGCCATGCACTACTTCGTAGTCACTATCAATTGTTGCCGCTGTTGCTGATGTTACCGCTGTATCCTTGTTACTGATGTTGCTGCTGTTACCTAATCATTGAAAACTTGTATGGAGAAATGAGACTTGATTGTTCGTTCCATCATCTAACAGCAGTAGCAGGGGTAGCAAATAACAGCAGCAGTAGTGGTTAACAACAGTAGCAACAGAACGTCGATAACAACTGACGATGGAAACGCTGCCTGCTAACAGCAGAAACAGCGCTTTTGTATGGTTGAAACTAAAGCTGTGATAAGTGTATTTTTGCACGATTGGTTTGGTGGAATCTTTTGCTACTCAAATTTATAGATCCATTAGGCTTTGGCCGAACTTTATCCGTGTTACCCATGTTACCGGTGTAACCTGTGTTACTAATGTTACTAGTGTTACTGCTTTTACCGCTTTTAGTGCTTTAAGTAGTGAAATGATCACAGATACAGGCTCATTCTAGAACGCGATCTCATTGACTAGTGGCGAGTGAGTAACACGGGTAATACGAGTAGCACGAGTAACAATGGTAATGCGAGTAAACGAGTAACACGGGTAAGACCAGTAACACGGTAACACGGGTAAAGTATGGCTAAAGCTCTAGCGGGAAGTTTTTGAGCCATTCTTTAATGTCAGCTCATATCAATTTTTAGTTGAATCGTACTGTCTCTCTCAACAACACACATTTCCATGAGCTTAAATTTGCCTGTACTAAGTGTGTAATTCTCATGGATATCCTCAGATCTGCTTTTTGTGAACAAGCGTAGTAATTTGTTTGCTTTTCAAATTCGCTACCTCATCCATCGATGTCCATCTCTCTTTTGGTGTTTTCTCAACATCTTCACCTTTCTTTATACTACTCTCGTACTCAATCTCTCATCCCAAAATTTCAAATAAATCATGCGAACTTTATCCCCATTTTTTAGCGCAGATGTTCAAGAAATGGAGACTATTCGGCGTAATCGTCATCGGAGACGTAGTGAGTGGGCTGGAACTGAAGTGGAGGATACCAGCGGTTCGGTAAGTATTTACTGTCTTTCTAGGCACTAGGATATGAAATAAAATCGACCATTAGAGAGGCATAATAGGGACAAAATTTGTTACAAGTTAAGAAAACAAAACGGAAGACCGAGGAAATGAGATAACAATGAAGACAATAAAACGGGTTGCAGTGGGTTGCAAAACATTGTGTTGATTAGCTTTAATAGGATAAGTGGGCGTAGCTGCAGCGGTTCGATAAACTGTTTTCAAGTTTAGCAGGCTAGACGTGCTCGATTGAGCCTTGCGCCGAGTACGAGTAGCGAACCTGCGGCTTTACTCTCTACATTATCACAAGCTGCCGCCGACGAAGAGGTAGGCCCCAGCCAAATTGTTGCTGAGGAGACGGCAGATCTTAGTGACGTTGCTCCTAATGAAACGGTAGCACTCGGAGAAGGTGGCGTTAGGAACGTGGTAGAGCTAGGTAATGTTTTGTTTGAGCAATTTTGGAGAGAAGAACTGTATCATAGCTTTAAGACTACCGGGACAAACTGCTCTTTTTTGCCTGTTATACTGTCTTACATGGCACTAGCACAGCGGAGCTTAGAAGGTTGATGATGCTAATAGAGCGTAGTTCACCATTCAAGGTAGTTAGGATCAAAAATTAACCAAAGCCAATTATGCTTATCATAGGAACTAAACCTCAACGAGCTTCTCGCCGGCTACACAGCTCCGAGTAGAGTCAAACACAAGACTTCGCTCGTCATCAATGACTTTTTACGTGTGATCTTCAGACAGGTTGGCCATTCATGTTCATAACTTTCATAACCAATGAACATGTAAGTATAATAAAAAAATCTAGTTAAGTAAATATGAGTGGACTACAGCGAGATTTGTAGGTTTGTGGACCAGATCCCTCAGATATATGGAATTTTGCTCATCGTACATCTAATGTATCGCGCAAGCCGGATTTACAAGATCTGCCTGAGTCCATAGTTATCACACTCAACGGTACGAAACTAGTCATGTAAGAAATTCTCATTCAAATCATTCTTTAGATTTCGTATTGGATGCGCTTAGCCTCGGCAACGAGGATTTGGAGGGATACAGATTGAATTCGATAAGAAGCTTGCGCACTAGGTGCGTTGGTGTTTCGTAAGCAGTCTTTACCTACTCAAATGATTTAGTTACTGGATCTCTCTGGGTACATCCGATGAAGAACGCGAGAAAAAGTTCAACTATCTGCTGGAGCAAAAAACTTTCTACTGCGGCCAAATCAGGACCTGTATCGCAGAAGCACTGTAAGTTTTCCAGAATCGTCTTCTGCTTCTAAATTCAGTTTTACAGCGAGGATGTCCGTTATTATCGCCTCGACAAGGGAAAACTTGTGCCTTCAAAGGTTCAAACTTAGTCTCAGTTGTTTTTATACTAAAAATTTGTTTTCCAGAAATACAAGGCTACGCAGGTCGGATTTGGTAGAGAGGACAAGGCAAGTATGACGAAGTCAGAATGGAAGAGGAAAGCGCTACACAGTAGTGGAATTTGATCCCGTCGCTGTCCTGTTTGAACCTGATGTTTAATTTCTGATCCATCATAAGTCTTCTCATGTAACATCGTGCCTTTGCCTCATTAGTTAAGCATGTTTCTCATTAATCAGTGCTTCATTTACTTACTCCCCGCTTACCTCTATATTCACTACATGCTTACTTCATATCTCACTATCAATATGATACTCCTTACGCATTATCCGGGCTACTGTAATTCGATCTTTTAAGAACTTGAAGAAATTCTCCCATTCCCTCCGTCGATATGTTATATCTACTGCTATAACAATAAATGATGGAGCATATCTGTTTTTGCGTATAACTACTACTAGTGCTCCACCCTTACTACTACACTACTTTGAGTAGCTGTACTAAGGGTGCGGCTTTATGAAGTAGCAGGATTCATCATGAAGGTTCGGTACAGCTACGCGGAGCCAATGTGAAGCCCTCAGGAAGTTCTGTAGATAAGTTCTCGGGAGATTTCCCACTTCTTGCGAATTTCCCGAGGACTTTTTTGCAAACTTCCCGAGCGCTTCACGGGAACTTCCGCAGGTGACCCGAGGAAAGTTCCCTCACGGACCTCGGGAAGTTCCCATTGATTGTCTGAGTAAGAATCGTGTGGCATAAAGGCAGTCTCCCGGCAGATTCACTTCTCTGAAGGGATATTGCTATGGTGGAATTCCTGGTCATTCCAGTGACTTCCAGCCCCAGTCCGGTCTGGTTGATGTTTCCCCTGGGCCGAGAAGGTAGCCCTTGAACAGGCGCGCACAGCCTCAATCGGCGCGCGCTCGGACGACTTCGCTTACCGTTCGGCGCCGGACTCCACAGCTCTCCCGCATTGTGCATGCTATCCAAAGCAAAAATTACAGGCAGCAGGGCCTTCGTTTGAGTAAACACCCCGAAAAGGTCATTTCACCTTTCAAAGCTCAGATTCGGGGTCCAGAGTCGAAAAGGCCCAAAATATGCAAAAATATGGAAATGCAAAATCTGCCGGGACATTGCCTATAAGAGTAGCTTCTCGAAACACAATGAAGCGGCTGAGCAGCTCGTTTGAAAATTTGGAAAGTGCGGCTTATACACCTGAAAATAGGGTAGCACATGACTTACTATGACGGTGCATCCATATTGCATGAAATGAACGGAACCGATGGGTGCAACAGGATCACCACCAGGTACCGCTCGGTAAATGACAGCGTAAGCTCTCGTAACTCCTGGAGGGTCTGGACCGAATAAGCAGCAATCCAGGATATGAACAGTAGCGAGGAGCAGAGACACTTTGACGAGCATAATGCTAGAAAATGCAAAGAGTTACCATAATATGGGCCTATGTATATCGTAATGCGAGCGTCTTGGCAAATATCGTTGCCAAACCGACATTTAAGTATAGTAAGAGGAAAGCATTGAAACTCTCAAACTTTTGTCCTTTTGTGGCCTGATTTGAGTTTATCATTAGAAGGCGAGGTTTGAAGGGAGTTATATTAGCTCGAATTAGAGGAGAGAGCCTTAAAAGATCTCCAAACCCGTTCTAAGTACTTTCCTCGTCCAGTACAAGCCGTGGAAATTGACATAAGATAGTTTGAGAGAGACTTGAGATGACTAGCTAACTAACTAGCTCACTCATTCACTTTGTTATTCGAGTTTTTCTATGCTCCTCTTAGCGGCGGACGGCCGCGCTTTACATCCATTCAAAAAGTATTGGTGGAAACAAGCAATTTTCAGTTTTAGTTACTATGTCACTTTCTCCAACAATGTGCTAAATTTCTGTCATTTCTAAACTCAATTAGTCTCACATTTCACAGAAAAAACTCATACACATAAGTAATTTCATACGTAGTCATGACATTAAACGACCATCGAATCTCATAAAAACATAATGACTCGATTCATAGTGCGCACTTTGCAGTTACAGTGCATCCCAACGTGAGTGTCAGAGCGCCGGGGTTAGGGTTCGCGCCCGTCTTGCGCGGGTCTTGTGCCGCGGGAGCATTGTATGGGCATTTGCCACGTTTAGTGAGTGCGCCGCTGCGTCTAATCACTTGTTTTCTTTCACTTTTTTTTACCATAGAGCTCCCATTCTTCTAAAAATGATCGCTTTGGCTTTTCCCTTGTCCAATATTTATACTATGCTAGCTGGCTTACCCGGCTCCGCCCGGCCCTGTCCAAACACTTTGATAATGTTCCATTCCCTTCCCTGTACAACCTTTCCCTGTGCTCACTTCTGCATGCGATTCCCTCATGCTCACTTACGCCCCCCCCCCTTTGGCTACTCCCAGCCCCGTAGTTCAAACTTTGCAAAAAATCGATAAAATCGTTAAAAGTGATGAACGATTTTAAAAACTAATATTGTACTCATAATTAGCCTGCACGATTACCCCCTTTTGGCAACTCCCAGCCCCGTAGCTCAAACTTTGCAAAAAATCAATAAAATCGATAAAAGTAATGGATAATTCCAAAAACTAATATTGTATTCGTAATCAGCATGCTCGATTACCCCTTGTGCCAAATCTCACCCGTAAGTGAACTCTGCAAAAAAATCGATAAGAATCGAGATCGATATCGATCGATGACGAAAAGTAGCCTATGACACCCGCCCCGCCCCGAAGTGTATGTGTGCCAAGTTTGGTCCGTCCGGATCGGTTCAGAAATAAAAATTTCTATTCGAAACATACGCGCAGACATAAAGACATACAGACATACATACATACAGACAGACAAATATACATTCAGCTTTATATATAAGATTTTGCAGTTATATTTCGATAGCAGTGGCTCCACTTTGGTTTTCACCTTCGCTGACTACCCGAGTTTCCTTAAATGTTTATCTCTTTGGTCTTTTAAAAGTTATTCTGATCGTTGTTAGGATCGGCTCCATTCCTAGACAGCTAAAATCTGCAGCATTTACAGCCAATCGCTCAAGTCATATTTTGCCTTCTTGAATTCATAGAGCTTCTTGCTAGCGTAATCAGCATAGCATCAACAAAGGGAGGATACTTGGTCGAAGTGGCGTTTTCATATAATGTCTACTCTTTTATAGATCATAAAACACTCAATCCAGATATGTTTTCGGTGTCTGCAAAGCGCTTCTGGGAGGGGAGTTATGGGGTTTCTGAGGCAAAAATTCAAGGATTTGTTCAAGGTGAAAGCAGGTATTGAAGAGGTGGTACATGTTTCATATGAGAACTCCACTTTGAAGAAATATCTTTTCCTTGCAAGATTAAAACTATAAAAAGTAGAATTATTAGGTTGTAACGAAAGTTCCCGGGCACTTGCGAAATTGTTTTTCCAAACTGTAACTTCAAGCAGACCGATCCTTTTTGAGAGTTGCAAACTTGCTGCAATGGCAATGTTGTCTACATGGTACGCCTATTCCGTTGGGTCCTCAGCACTTCATTTCTGACTAAGCATCCGTAGTAGAATGAGAAAGTCGGCTTAGAATTTGACCTGTTAGCGCAAATCTCTCGGGTTGACATCGATAAAAACTGAATCGAGTTTGAAATGTTCGGGTTTCTTTTACAAAAACATATAAACTATTTGTCGTTGAAGTGTAAGCGAGTGCGAACAAAATGAGCTTAAATATGAAATTTCCAAAACTGCCCGGCAACTTTCATTACAACCCAATAGTTTCAATGGCTGTAAGTCATGAAGCTTATGGGTGCCACTCTATTCGGTTTCTCAACCGGATACAAACTTCTAATCTAGGAACGAGACTGTAGTCGGTCCTAAGTGAATTAATCCGTATGATAATGGAAACTTCAAGGAAGTGTTAGAAAAAGGGAAAAAACAATTGATGAGACGGCGGGCACCAAGCGGCGGCGGCATGAAAGCCTGGCAAAATGTCCAGATGATACGTCTGCAAACTCGGCCAAGGGCTTGAGTGACGCGGCGACGGCTTTAACACTCACGTTGGGATGGCCTGTATCTTGCGCGTAAGAAGTCTAATATATGTACACTGATACAGCGAAAGGTAAAACCGGGGTTTGTCTAGGGTCAGAGATCTTGATCACTGTGTGTTACTACTAGACATTGAGCAGGCAGAGTACGTCATTTGCTAAAATAAAACGTTATAAGAAGACCACATATATATCCTCTAGGAGTGAGAAGACAACTTTTGTGTGTCATGACATTGACAAGGGTTGCATGCATTCTGAGTGAACCAGAAATTTGTTTACACATCCTCCTGTCGAGTATTTTCGCACGTCTGAAGTAATATTTTTCATGTCATACTTTCTTTTCTTATCTCTCGCTCTTAAAAGTGTGGTTCCAAATCAATGTACTAGATGTACACATTTGCTCACCAAAAGGGAGATTTTTCCAAGTTTCTATAAAAGAGCTTTTTTGTTCCAGCACCCCTAACAGGAGGAAAGGAACATGGTTATGATATATAGAGTGAATATTTTTGCGGACCGATGTTAACCATTCTCAAAGACTGATTATTGTATGTGTAATTAAGACTATAGAACATTTATAGTTACTTATAATACTTAATTCTAACAATCAGTTTCCAAATATACAAGAAAGGTAATTCTCTAAATTATGCGGAGTGATGTGCATGATAACACTGCGACAATCTGCCTTGCCTCTCCTATCCAATAAATTGATAGAGTGAAAGGTGTAGTCTCCGATTCCCAAATGTCATCGTACATACTGACAGAAAACTGATAGAATTTTGCTCACTCATTTGAAGGGGGCATTTCAATTGGCCACACGTCAGTGTACTGAGAAGAATGATGATGGATCTGGGGAAGGTCTTTAGTTTTTGAGTTTCTGAAATTAAACAAGCACAACTAATTCCGTAACTAAGCATTATCTTCCAAAGAAATTGTATTGTGTTGTTGAAGTTCATCTATGGTGTTATGCTAGTAACTGATCCATTGTTCCTCATATGATCTGCCCTAGCATGGTCAATGCAACCACAGTGCGTGGGAAAGAGGCGCAAAAGGCGCTCACTGTTAGCGTTAGTCAGTTCAAAAGTTCACCCATCTGCCCTCTGTTTGTTATTCTTTCTTCCAATAAGTCTTTCCGTCATCAGAAAACGAAGACATCGAAGACACAAAATATGGCAAAGCTGCAGTAGTGTTCTTATGCCGTTTTTGAGGCAGCGTCCAGGCAAATCTGGACCTATGGGAATTCTACGTGGAAGGTACTTTTGGGGTCCTAACTAAGGCATCAAGCGGCAGCGCAGGTAGTACTCTAACGGCTGAGATATTCCCCTCGAAACTGGACCCGTCGATCGTATTCGCATGGTTCATGGCAGTTTCGCGCCAGGATCCACGCTTTACGCCATGAATCCATGCGAGATACGATCGCGGGGTCCAGTTTCGAGGGGAATATCTTAGCCGTTAGAGCACTACCTGAGCTGCCGGTTGGGCAGTGGCTTAGTTAGGGCCCCAAAATTATATCCACGTGAGATCCCTCCCCGTGTGCTCGGACGTGCCTGGATACTGCCTTTAACGTAAATTGACTCCCAAAGTTGGAAACAATTCAACAACGTTAAAGAAATGGATAGGAATAGATTGATGGCGCTTACTTACTTTCAAGATCAGCCTTTCCTACTTGTGGTTTGGCGGTATCGTGAGCGAGATGGTAACTCGTATCGTCATACGTTAAGGTCACGTTGTTATGCAGGTTGCTCAATTTTCAAATCTCGGTAAACGACCATCACATAATCTAGTAACAATATTACACCTTGCAGCGTACAAGACCACCAAAACTACATTGAGTCCATTCCATCACTGAGAACAAAAATTTTCCAGACGATCAAGAGCGCCAGGAACTAGGCACTTCACAGCTGGATATGCTTACAAAATGCACAGAGGAAGTCAAAGAGAGCATCAAATTGCTACAAATGGACTACGAGATATTGATGGAAAGGTTCGAGGAGGTTAATCACGAAGCTGCGAAGAAGGTAATGGCGGAGGAATGGGACGATTTTTCGAAACCATTACTGACGCTCGCATGTTTGTTCATCTTCTGCAAGCCCGTATAACATTTTGCGAGATGGAGCTGAATAGGTTAACATGCAGAAGATCGTTTGCCTCACGAAGCCAGAGCGCTGATAATCCGCTTGATGATCAAAACAATGATTCACCATCAGAGGAGAACCATATCAGCGGCATTCCAGAAGAGGAATATATCGGTGATGCGATGCAAGATGTCAATAGTGGAAGCCACGGTGAAAAAGACGCCAAAAACTACAAGATCGAGGCTGAAAACGGTGACAATTTACAAGCTACCGCAGTCTGGAGGATGACCTTAGGGACAGGTCATTACATCAGGAATGCCACAGACAAACACAGGGGGTGGAGGAACGAACGCCTCAAATTGGCACCGCCTCCGCGGACTACTGGTCCCAACACGATGTACAACAGTAAGGCGAAAGGACCAGCAGCCCGCAGAAGCGGCGCCTAATTGAGGCGTTCGTACCTCTACCCAAACACAGGCACTGATGTCAATGAAAAGCGACATTCCCAGAGTGAAATTTCGACGCAAGATGAAGTACGACAAGAAGCGTGGTCGCGAACCTCTCCATACATATTCACATGTATATGCTAATCTACAGAAACGCAGTATACACAATTCTAGTTTACACTCGTTTTCCTCTCCACTTCATGACAGTCCCTCAACTCGCCGGCGCCTCATCTTTAATCGCGTCGCAGTGCAGCAACGACATCTACGAGATCCAGACAAACGCCACCTCGACAACGTCCACTGCAATGTTCTGACAAAGAAAGCACTTCGATGTATCGAGACGTAATATTTGTGCTCCATTTCGCTGTTCATTTCCTTCGCTGGCCGGAGGGTGCCGACATTGTCGGCACTTCCTTACAATCGTATCTTTATTCTCACCGAAGTACCGTAAAGGTCATGCCATAAGCATGACTTGCTGTGATACCATTGACCTATCTTGCTCCCCCTGTTATCGTTAGCTTTCTACCACAGCACCCACGAGTGCAGGTCGCCTATTCATAAAGCTTATTAGCTAATGTGTTCTATAACATATCCTACCAGGCGCTATTCGCCTTAGGCTGCAGTAAAGCCCGAACCACCGAGACTGGCAAGAAGTCGACTTTGAGTTTTTTGTGCTTACCTGAGCCTATTCGCTATGCTGAATCCGAAAATCACACTGGAATGCGTGAAAACGGCGAAAAAGGACTATAATGCAGGAGGGTAAAGTAGGCTACGGAGTCTTTAAAGGCAGCGTCCAGACAATCTCGACTTCTCTTTTTTGTCTTATCCAAAGCTCTTCATGGCGCTGATTCCAGCTATGGCAGTCGAAAGGCGTAATTCCTCAAAAAACCCCATTTTTGAGACAATTTTGTGAGAAGCATGAACGAGTGCTCCCAAAGCTATCTTTTTCTAAAGCAAGCATTAACAGGTACACTATGTGTTCCATCCTGTTTGCCTAAAAACACGTCAAGTCCTGAGGAAAGTTCGTCCAAAAAGGCGGGTCGTTCGAGATAATGGGCGAACGGCCCGCCCCCTTGAACGAACTCTTCTTTGGTCCTGACGTGTTTTTTACGTGGCACACACAATAGAACACATAGTGTCTACCTGTTATGCTTGCTTTAGACAAAGATAGCATTGGGAGCACCCGTCCAGGCTTCTCAAAAAATTGTCTCAAAAATGGGGTTTTCTGAGGAATTCACGCATTTCGACTGCCATACTTAGAATCAGCGTCATGAAAAGGCTTGGATAAGGCAAAAAAGAGAAGTCAAGATTCTGCATAGACGCTGCCTTTAACTCTATGAAATCACACTCCCAAGTTCTACAGCGATCTTCTCGGTTACAATTTCAAGTCATTAGCACTTGGCCTTGGTTGTTAGGGCGCTAGCGAAAGCGAAAAAATCGCTTCTGAAGCCGGGATTGGGCTTCAGAGTGGAAAGCTCCGCCCATCTGCTGGCAAATTAGGTGGGCGGAGCCCTTCGCTTCCCTCCTGCGTTAGAGCCCTTTCTCGCCGTTTTCGCGCTCCCCATATGGATTTTCGCATTCATAGCGAAAATCCACATGGGAGCGCGAAAACGCATAACGAATAGGTCCAGGCGAGCAAATTTCAAAATCACTTCTTGCCCGGACACTGTTTTCAAGCGAGATGCCGAAATTTGCTGATAATTTTGCAAAGCTACACCAAAGACTTTCGGCCGTTTTCGAATGCCTTAATATGGCAGAAAGGTCTGGCAAGATAGAGCGAAAGCTCATTTTCATACTCTAGACATAAACCATTTGAGAACTATCGCCATCACACGAAAGATATGCCCTTGACAAATGCGATGCGCCCGATGTCTCTTCCCAGATTCGTTTCGCAAATTATATGCCCACCTGTTTACTAGAATGCTATAGAATTTGCAGAGAAATAAGAAGTTAGCGTAAGTACATGAGCTACAAGTAGAAGTTATTTATATGTGTCTCAGGCCGAGCTTACGAAAACGAAAGATTTTGGGTGCAATGAGGACCAAAAGATGCACAATGTCTCAAAGTGCACTTAAAGGCAGTGTCCCACCAGACTGGTGGTATCTGGCTCCCGTAGTCATGTAATAGTAGACCCCCTACCTAATCGATGTTTGAAGTTCGGAGCGAGAAAGGGGGTCTACCAAGCCTAAAATTTGCTCCGAAAATGGGCCGAATCTTACGGTAAGCTCGGGCGATTACGAGGTGGATGCAAGGTAGAGACGCAGAGTTGTTGCGGGTCCCTGCGCTCATGACTGTGTGCGCTATACGCACTCTGGCCTTGCAATCGATATTGCTGTGTGGGCGGCGTTCGGCCCTACCGTAAGATTCGGCCCACTTTCGGAGCAAATTTTAGGCTTGGTAGACCCCCTTTTTCGCTCCGAACTTCAGACATCGATTAAGTAGGGGATCTACTATTACATGACTACGGGAGCCAGATACCTCCAGTCTGGTGGGACACTGCCTTTAAACTAAAATTTCCTTCCAAACCAGTTCTTACTTCCTCGTGTACTTGTACTAACAACAGAGCACACAGACTCCTGCAAATTTATTGGCACCTCCGTCCGCTACTCTAGCAAGCATGTCGACTACATCGCATCGAACCTTAAGCCCTTCAGAGGGCCTTCTCAAAGATTCTGTGAACTGCGACTTGTCGGCAATCTCGGGGGGGGGGGAGGGGGGGAGGGATCTAGAAATTCTCCTTCCAGCTGTTCAGCGGCATCATTGTTTTTATCATGTTTATCATGTTCATGGCGCTCAGCGCATGTCACAATCACAGAATCTACATCTATAAAAAATATAGAAATAGAGGTCCTTACAGTGCATTAAGATGATAGACAAGTTGCAAATTAAACTGCTCCCCCACGTCCCGCCTAAACGCTTGATAGAACGTGGTTAATATGTAAGAGTAAGTGCGTCCCCCCTGGTTTTTTTTTATCATTCCTTCGCATCTAAACATAAAGATCAGGGTCACACTCATTGTACTCTTGGCTGATGCATCGCTTCTTCAGCCATTACATTTTCGACTCTTGCAAAACACTCTTGCAAACAAAATCAACAAACCATATCTTTGCAGAAGCAAAACTTGTGTACGATTAGTCGTCTTACGTTGATGCATGGTTGCGTTCGGCGATGTGAGCAGATCCTCCCAAAAGTTTGGCCAGGAACGCTGTATACCACGTTCATCGGTCGCGCCTTTTGTATACGCCGCCGGACCACTCCGGCTGGGAACGCGGCTAAGTGGCAGGGTGTATAAGGCTGCGCATGAGAGCGCTCTTTGCCTTTTTGACCTTCGCTCTCATTAACCGTCCAACATATCCTGCTTATCCTCATTTTCAGTAGCTCCGATTTCTATATGAGCGGTTGAGCTCTGGGAGGTTCTTATGAGTAGTGCGTGCAGTCCACAAACAAAGGAGTATGAAGCTGTGGTCGCGCCGTTCCACCTTCCATCTGCTTCTAGCGACAGACCCTAATGGAGGAACCCAGAATCTTCTTCTAAATATTGAGCCTGTAGCACATCGACAGAACCAGACGACGTGGCTCCGTGTTATAGTTATGACTGTTTTTTAACCTGATGGTTTATAATTTTAATTTTTTGCTAGTTTTTTTTATGTTTAGGATAAAATCATTGGTTTACAATGTTTGTTATGTGAGTGGTAGCGGTCTAACATAAGATCCTAGGATGCGGGGTGAGCAGCGCAGGACAGTCGCACACGGCTACGGGTGTCGACCCACCGAACCACGACAATGGGGTTCAAAGCAATAATAGACAGATTCACATCCAGCAACACGACGCAGATCAATATAAAACACACATTGAAATATTTATAAAAGCAGCTAACCTGGACGCATCCGAGCTAGTGCGCAAAATTCCATATTGAAGAAAGTGAGTCTTCCGAAATCTTCTCAAAGCTCAACTCACTTGTCGTAGTCCCACTCTATTTTCGGCACTTTATAAACTCTCAAAATATTGCTTTCAATGATGTGATGTCATAAGACCTTTTTCTCAAATAGACTGTTATGGTGTGACTGAAACACTCGATCTCAAGACAATTTTCATGAACGAAAATTGAAATGCAATTGGTACAACATAACTATATGCATAAACGGAATAAATAATTTAAGAAAAACTCCTCGGCAAAGCAGACAAAGCATTGCATTTTCTTTTGCTGAGCATAACGACGTATATACATAATGTGGAATAATGATTCCTAGGATAGCAGCTACAACAGAACGCGCTTTTCAATAACATCAACCAAGACTAGCTTGTGCTCGTCGCATACTCATTGGTATACGGACACTAGACGCTTCTTTAGCATCCACGAGTGCAATGTAAGCATTTGAGTAAATCGTTTTGAGGAACTTGTCCATATCTCCAGCTCCCGTCAATCTTTCCTTGTAGTCCACTGCCAGACGTTCGAAAGGAGTTTTCGGAGGCTGCA